AATAATTCATATAGATATATACACGATAAACAAAAACTATAACCTTACACTAATAGATAAGTTTTCAAAATTCGCATGTGCCTACCCTATACCCAACAGGACCTGCATAAACGTCGTCACTTCCATGAAACATTTTTTTAGTCTTTTTGGAATACCTAAAAAACTAATCTATGACCAAGGTGCAGAGTTTTCCGGCAGTATATTTAAAGACTTTTGCAATCAATATGACATCCAATGTCATGTAACATCCTTCCAACAGTCATCCAGCAACTCCCCGGTAGAACGACTACATTCAACACTTACCGAAATTTATAGAATAATCACCGAACTAAAAAAAAAATACAAGCAGACAAATAAACACGAAGAAACTCTTTCTGAAACACTTCTAACCTACAATAACGCTATACATTCATCTACAAAACTCACACCTTTCGAACTTTTCACTGGACGCACTCATATTTTTGAACAAACTATTAAATACGACAATAATCACGAATATTTGCAAAAATTAAATTTCTTCCGATCAAAATTATACCAAGAGGTAAAAGAAATGTTACATAAAAATACCAAACACAATTTGGATAAACTTAATGTTGCTAGAAAATCTGCAACACTTGTATCCAATAATGATACCATATTTAGAAGGGAGAATCGTAGAAATAAGCTAACACCAAGATTCTCCAAACATAAAGTTTTACAAGATAATGGCAACACAATTATCACTACACACCCACAAAAAATACATAAATCTAAAATAAGGCGAACAACATAATAATAGGCAGTATAATTTTTAATTTTAATGTATACTATTCATAGTACTTAAGCATAGTATAAACAAAAGATGACATTTTATATTATACTTTATCTTTATTTTTGTGTTGTGTTGGTCTCACATCCTTTGAGTATGCTCAATCCACATAACAAATCAGTGGTATCCACCTGGACACCCTGTTTTTAATCATTTGCTTCATTTTGGGGAGGGAGGAGTTACCAACCCAACAACACACACAAACACATATTCAATAATTCTTTGTACACACATAAGCACACACAAAAACACTCAAACACACACAAACACATATTCAATAATTCTTTGTACACACATAAGCACACACAAAAACACTCAAACACACACACAATTATAAAATACCTACACATAAGCATTGTACTCTTTGTAAGAAGATACGAAACAAAGAAACCAAAAAACTTAGAAATAAAGACTCACTTCTGTTTTGGCATTTGAATGAAGAGGACGTTTTATTAATATCTTGACACCTACATATATACACCATCTAGCTCCCGATGGTAATTCCTGCGCCCCCTTTGCCACCAGTGCCCAAGGCCTCGCTGCCATTGCTTTTTTTTCTTTTTTTTTTTTTTTTTTTTTTCTTTTTTTCCTCCTTTCCCCCCCCCCCCCCCCCCCCCCCCCCCCCCCCCCCCCCCCCCCCCCCCCCCCCCCCCCCCCCCCCCCCCCCCCCCCCCCCCCCCCCCCCCCCCCCCCCCCCCCCCCTTCCCCCCCTTTCCTCCTTCCCCCCCCCCCCCCCCCCCCCCCCCCCCCCCCGCCCCCCCCCCCCCTTTTCCCCTTTTTTTTTTTTTTGGTTTTTTTTTTTTTTGGGTTTTTTGGCGCCTTTTTTCCTTCCCTCCTTCTTTTTTTTTTTTTTTTTTTTTTTTTTTTTTTTTTTTTTTTTTTTTTTTTTTTTTTTTTTTTTTTTTTTTTTCCCCCCCTCTCTTTTTTTTAAGGGGTTTTTCTTTTCCCTTTTTTGGTTTTGTTTTTGGATGTTGGAAATACGTTTATACATATATTTTGTACGCGGGCTTATCTCATAAGTTTAACTGAATATAGGATGGCATGCGTTGTTGTATTCCACGTATAAGCTTACGTTTGCTGCTAAGGTTATTGATCTTGAAATAAAAATACATTTTATACGACGAGCACTTGGAGTATTTGTTTCATTCGTGTTGGGTCTATAATGAATAGGCGAATCTGTAATCGCTTATCATAATAGTTGCTATTATGCTGTATTCAAGTAGTAAAACACTCCTTGGTAACTCAGTGAATGTGTTTTATTTTGTATTTATTGTATCAACTCTTCTGTAATTTTATAATTTGCTTGTATCATATGATATAGTATAATTATTTGATTATGTATAAATATATGTATATGTTGTGTGTGTTTGTATATGAATGTTGAATTATTATTTCTTGGTATTATTTGCACATATATGTGTACGTATGTATATTTATGTAAGTATGTATATGCATGCTTTACATATAGACGTGTATATATATATATATAGTCTCTACCGCTTGTAGAGCAGATCGAAATGTATAAGATCATCATACTAGATTCCATCTGCGTCAAGTTACAAATTATATTAATATATATATTTATTATATAGATAGATTTGTTGCATTGGTCTCTGCTGCATCAAATGAGATATACAATTCAATAAGATTATAGTCCTTAGTTTTGTAGTAAACGGTATCAAAAGATAGGTACAATTGAATTGGCCCGTGCTCATACACAAGCTACCACTAAAATCATTTTGGAGCCCTCGTCTCTGTGGCCAAACGAAACGAAAGAGCAAAAATTTCCATCAATATCAATATCAAGATATCATTAATAAGTCGCATCGCTACTGCAATGGAAAGCATTTAACTATGGGTCTGGGTGTGTAGGCTGGCATGATGCAAAATTTCGCTAAATGAACTTAGTATTAGTTAGATATCAGTAAGCTTCATATGTAAGTATTATGGATACGAGACATTGAGTTGCACACTAAAATATTTCGAATATATCTAATAAGTACATACATAACCAAGTATGGAGCTAATATAGCACGCAGTATAATTTGTATAATTTTCGTTGATTGTTTGGCTTTGTGTCTAGTTTAATATCGTATAATTCATACCTTGGCTGCTATAGGACAAGATATTTACATTTATCATAGACAACCACTTGATGCACTGAAGACTATTTTGGGATATGCTTGAATTGCTTCACCTCTTTCTTATTCGTATTACACTTAATTCATTAATTTTCGTTTAGTTTTCGCCATTTATAAATGAAAAGTTTTATCAAAGCTGGCAGCGTTTACTGTTGCGTATATCAAATTAAAATCGTGGCTTGCCTTAGACAGAGCTTTAATTCGAGTATTTCGAATAGAATATGAATTTCTCTTTATGATTGATCTTTAGTTTGAGTAATATGCAAGTATTTAAATTCGTATTGAATATATGTTTAGGTTAGCCTAATTTTAATTGTATTTCATTTAAGTTGTTGCATTTCAAGGACATGTTCTCTAATTTATAATTTCATATGTTTATCCAATGATTCTTAAGCATTCTCTTATAGCTCTTTTGGTTCATTCGTTTTTAACTTGAAACGGAGGGTTTTAACTGTTTGATTGGTTATTGGTAGGACTTTAGTAATTGATTCGGCTAAAAAAATATTCATAGTGGGTAGCTTTACTACGCTGATTGTGAGTTGAGAGTTGAAATTGTAAATATATTTATGCATTGATATACATACATATATTAATTGGTTTCCATAGTCAGTTCTTATTGTTTGCATAAACTAAATTGACTTTAGTAAATTATTCAGTGAATGCAAAATTAAAATGAATTTCTAAAACTTGTTTAAAAAGATTTATAATAAATTTGATTTAAAATGTTTCATTTATGTTGTTTATATTGTCGATATTTTATTTGTTGATTTTCAACACCAATTTGATTTTCTTGTAGATTTATTTTGTTTCGTTCTCATGAATATTGATCCAGATTGAAATATCCTCAGGATCTATTTGAAGTGCAACTGTTTATGGTTATGGTATTGGTTATGGTTATTCAAAGAGTTTAATTTTAGCTTTCGTTATATTGAGTACTATCCTTGCTGATATACATATAACATATCTGTATATATTTATATAAATAGATATATATTTATGCATTGTGATTATGTGAATTCCGTTTTTAGACATCTAAACATGTAAGATTGGTTTTTATATTTAAAGCGCTTTGAGTTAGTTGTATTTATCGGTCTCATCTGCCGTATGCACAGATAAGATAAGATAATAATGGATTTAATTTGACTAGTAGTATCTTTAGTGGAATTATATTGATTTAGCTAGTAAATATCGTAGGTATTCTTCATGGGCTGATAGATTAGATAGATTATTAGAAAAGGTGGTCCATTTAGTCATCGTATCGTAATTGAGTTTTAAATGAAATATGCTAAAAATGCGTGTGACGTAAATAAAAACAAATGAAATCAAAATGCAAACATAAATTGTTCAATAATGACTTATTTAATTAAAAACATTGCAGCACACTTTCAGTTAGCACGTACATTATAATACAAAATACACATTAATGGAATATAATAAATTACAAAGTAAACTGAAATAAAAAGTATCTTTGATTCAGGGTGAACAGATAAAAAAGTAAAGCTCCTTTCGCAATGGGGTCTCTCATCTATTGTTTTGCGTTGTTTCGAAAAAAGTGCTTCTATAACAGATTTGCAAGTGCTCGCAATTGATTATGATATTTCTCTTTATATAAGTCTCTTAGCTACACTTTATATTTCTGCATTATTTTCAGCTTTTAATATGTATCGTTCACATAGTATTGATATATTTTCGTAACTAATAAAAAACCTTGAGCTTTTCAGCTTCAGCTCCTCAGCTCCTTTCGTTCCTTTTATATTCATATATATATTTTTGTTTATATGTATAAGTTGCATGTTGTAATTATTTATAGTGATTTATATATAGATATATGTAAATATACCGATATATTTATATGTATATGTAGATATATGTATACTGTTTAGAATTCGCTTGCACGCTAGCCATTACAGTGAAGTATGCTTAAGTTGGTTTCTGATTATTATTGGTTGCCTTTCCTTTTAGTATTTCCTTGCATCCGTAAGTACCGAAAATTATTTCCTCAAGTCCACGCAGGTCTTTTCCGTATTCGTGGTCGTCGTCGTCGTTGTATTTGTAGCCGTGCTGCTGCTCGTCTCCTCCAAGTCCTCGTTGTTGGGCTCGATTTCCTGTTCGGTGATGACGGTGACCAAGTTATCTGCTGCTTCTGTTTCCGAAGAGAGGAATACATAGTTTAAGTAATCGCCGACTTATATAGGACTACGATATATATAGCATCATATATATTTGAAGAGTGCACAACAGAAATGTTTGAATTACCGCTTTGACATACATTCCAAACGCTCTAGCCAAGATCTAGAATCGTATATTGTGGGCAATGGCATAGGGAATTAAGCAAGAGAAAGTTCAGATTAGTTCTTGAGAATAAATTCACTTTGGGCATGAAACACAAACGAAATGCACAAACAACAACATCGAAAAGCAAAGGCAATAACAGCTCAAATCAAGCAACGAAATAAAAATCCATTAAAACTTTTCACTTTAAGAGAAAATATCAACTGAATTAATAGAAAGAAAAAACTACGAAACTCAACGAAAGGCAAAAACAAAAAACAAAAAAACAAAAAATGGTATCAAAAATCATTCCGACAAATTCCGCACCATTCATATGCTGCTGCAGCAAGCTGGAGTGCGGCGGAGGCGGGGGACGTCCGTCGTCCCCTAAGTAGCCGGACATCTGCATTCCACTGCCGGACATGTCGATGCCCCCGTTGCCGGTGAGGACGCCCCTCTGAGAAGAAAGTTGCTGCTGCTGCTGCTGCTGCTGCTGCTGCTGATGCAGTGCGTTCAGAGCGCCGCTCAGTTGGTGCTGATGGTGCTTGGCGGCCAGATTGGCCAGCTGCTGCTGCTGCAGCTCGTTGCTCAGACCCGGCAGCATAATGCCCTCTATATATATGTATATGTGTGTGTGTGTGTGTGTGTGTTAAAGGATACAGTCAGAAATATGTCATGCACATACAGGGTGACCAAACAAAGGCGACTGGGCATATCTCATTCATCAGCTAAAGGTTATCAATAGCTTGATATGGTCACTCTTGCTTGGTCAGCCCTTAGTCAATATTCAATTAGATGCAGAGGAATCGAAACTATAGCTGAAGCTGTTAAAGGCGATAAGCTATCGTATGGAGCACCCGTAACTCTATACTAGAGCTATACCTAGACCTATTCCCATGATGGCTGCCAGCCCGTACTCACTTGAAGTGTGGTCGTAGTGGCCGTTCTGCTGGTTCATCTTGGCCGGGGAGTCGGTGTTCAGCTGGGAGGCGGTTACCGAGCGCGTCTGCAGCGTGTTTGGCTTGGAATTGAGCGCTGAGCCGGGCGCACTGGGCAGGCCGCTGCTGGTGGCGCTGCTGCCGCCGCCGTTGGGCTCGTCGAGCAGCTGGCGGAGTCGCTGCAGCTGCGCCTCCAGCTGGCGATTGTGATCTTCGAGTATCTGCATGCGCGCCTCCAGGCGGCCCTTGTGCTGCCGCAACAGCTTTGCCTCGGCCATCATGTCCTGGTGAATAGAGAGAAAGTTCAATTTCGGCCCGCCTCTGCTATCCATAATCCCCATCTTACCTGGCCATGCTCGCCCTGGCTGGACAGACCCGTCATGCTGGAGCTGCTGGAGTGGTGCATGCCGTTTGATTCATCGGGCGTGCCGCTCTGCTGCTTGGTGCACAGCTGCTGGTACTCGGCCTGCAGATTGGCGTTCTCCTCCTCGAGGTCGCGGATGATCGCCTCCAGCTCCTCGCGCTGCTCCGCATCCATCGCGGCCATCACCTGAACCGGCGACTTGGGCGCGCTGCCATTGGTCGCGGGCAGCGCCTGGCAATACTGTGCGATCAGCTGATGCTCGTCGTCGCTGTCGGGCGTCGAGTTGGAGCCAGTTCCGCCGTACTCCACCTGGGCCAGCCGCGACGCATACATCTCGAGGCGCGAGTGCATGTCGTTCTGCAGCTGGTGCGAGGTGTGCTGTGGACTGGGCGCCGGGCTCTCGAGTGCATCACCTATAGTACACAAATCGGAGTTAGTCGAGGCGGAAGATAGGCGTGGTGCTCCCTCTGCTTACCCTCTAGGACGCTCTGCACGGGCAGATAGCCGACGCGCGGATGCTTCTTAAAGTATTTGCGACTCTTGAATTTGTTTTTAAGGGCGCGCGTAAAGTCTCGCACGTCCTCGGTGGATGTGGTCTAAAGAATGAGATGGAAACGAATTAGTTTTTCTCTTTCGGCACATTCATTGCGCATACGCACCGTTGTGCAGTACTCGTGCATGGGATGGGTGAGCTTGTGGTTCTTGGCATTCCGCCCGAAGAAGAAACACTTTTGGCACATGTCAAAGTTGAAGCACTTGAGGCAGCGATACCGGAAGCCGACTATCGGATACTCTTTGCATATGTTGCACTTGGCCTGGTGCTTGGCCGCCTCCGCGGCAGCCAGACGATGCAGCACGGGCAGCCACACCAGACTCTGCGGCTCGTGCTGCAGCCAGCCGAGGAAGTGCTGCAGCTCGATCGATATCTCCTGATTGCCATCGATGGCTTCCTGTGATATGCCCGCCTGCTCCAGGCACGAGCGCACCGAGGGCTCGATATTAGAGCCCCCAAAGGCAGCCACCTCGCCCAGTTGACGGGGAACCTAGGTAGAGCGGACAGAGCAATTATTTAATTTTCCAATCTCTCTCTCTCTCTCTTCTCCCCACACCCCACACTCACCTGTATGCAATCGTGCAGCAGGAGTCCCAGGCGCCGCTGATCCGCTCGCCGGTCGGTGTCAGCGACCAAGCGGAACAGGTATCGATACTTCTCCTCGAGGTGGCCCTTGCAGAGCAGCACGAGGCCCACCTTGAAGCTGAGCACCCGAATTTGGCCGGTGCGCTGCGAGTCGTACACGTTCAGTATCCAGTTGATGGCCAGGTCGAGCATTAGCGTCAAATCAATTTTATCGATTGTCACGTAGAGCGAATGCAGCACCGTCGTCATATCCGGTATGTCGATCAGCTTGTCGTTCTGGGCCCGCAGTCCGTGCCGGTCAAACGACTCGCACGCGGTGGCCATTGAGATGCGATCAAGCGCTGCGATTGCAAATGTTACAAGTTTTTTAGAATGATAGAGATTTTATATCAATATTTATATTATTTATATTTATTATACATATTTCTAACATGCTACTACTCAGTCAATTAACTGATTTCCTTATTTATATCGAATAGTTATCATTGGATTTGGTATCGTTTCTACAGTTTACTGAGCAGCTACATCACACCTTTCTCTCACTCTCTTTGTCGATCACTCTCTCTCTTGCTCCTCCTCTAATTTTTCTTTCTCTCTCTCTCTCTTTCTCTAGCTATCTCTCTTATAAATATATTTCCCCCTCTCATTATATCTTTCATTTTTTCTTTTCCTCTCTCACTCTTATTAGTCATCTATCTCTTTCTTCTATCTTTTTCTTTTCCTCTGTTTCTCCCTCTTCTCTCTCTCTCTCTCTCTCTCTCTCTCTCTCTCTCTCTCTCTCTCTATCTCTATCTCTCATGCCCACAATATAAAGCCCTTGCTAAAAATATATTAATATAGAACCCAAAATATCTATTCCAAATTAAGGACCTGTTCTTTCAGCACAATTTAATGAAAGTTCTCAAATGTTAGCTAGGTTCTCTGCTTTGAGCCACCTACCTAATCGCTTCTGTACAGCTCGGAGTTTCATGGCTGTGCGATAGGCCGAGAAGCGAATTTCGTTGAGGTCCGCCAGTCCCTTCATCAGTTCGATCATCTCCGGGTGGTCCCAGTGTGTGGTCTCGCGTTCATGGCTGTGGGCGAATCAACGAGTTCAGTTTCGTTACGAGCGGCAGGCGAAGGGAGGGAGGGAACACTGGCAACACTTACTCGATGTAGTAAGGCACGTTGGCGGCAGTCGTGGCACGCTCCCAGGGCGGCTTAACACTTTGGCCCAAATTGGGCAGTGGTCCAATGGTGCCGCTGTTAGATGTAGTGCGTCCATCGTCCCCGTTCTCGTGCGCATTGTTGGCACCGGCCTGGCACAATACCTTCTGACGCTCGTCCATCGCAATTTGCAGCAGTTTCATGCTGTAACCGGAAAATCGCGTCAGCGATAGCTCTTTCTCTTTATCTGCGGCAGCCCAGAGAGGCGGCGCACACTTACCGTGTATTTAAATCCTCCAGCTTGGACAGGCACGGCGTCGGCACCAGCACCTGATTGGCGGTGAAGAACGATTGCTGCTCGTTGCAGTCGTCCAGCAGGGCGCTGGCCGTGGTCATCTTGTCCCGCAGCCGCTGCAGCTGCTGCATCTGCTCATTAGCCTCGCCCACGGACGACGGCGTCTGCCAGGTGAGCTGTGTTTGCTCGGCCAGGGCGACGCGGGAGGTCAAGTCCTCCAGGACCTTTTGGAATTGGCGCATTTTCTGCAAGAAACAAGTTGAGAAATAAGCCAATTAGCAAGCGAGCTCAATCGATACATGAAATTGCCATGAAAGCAGTTATAAATAGATCAATTATGTGGGAATAAATTATGATATATGAGTTGAATTGTAGCATTAAGGCTGGAGCTGAAATTCCTAAATTACGGGCGCAAAATTAAGAGAAATTGGCAAAAAACATAGTTCGAATCAGATTTTATGCTGTGTGGCTGTGATTTCATTTTAAAGCAGTCTAACTCTTCTTATACTAATATTTGTAATGAAGCAGCTAAACTTAGTCACCCCTTTTATGTTAGCTTAATTTACAGCTGTCAGCTGACCTCATCGGGTAAATTCACGCTGAGCTGTGATTTTTCTAAGACTTTGTCATTTTTTCTGCAGCCGTTATTCGACTCGCGTTTATATGGCAAATCTAATTGAATTTGAGAAATCGATAGCTTAACCAGCTGCTCAATTATAGCTTATCTTAAGTAGTATCACACATAATTGGCAAATCTGCATAATAATGTACTTGAATGTCTTGAGACTCCTTCAACATTCAACTTTCCAATTGGATAATCCACTCTAAGTTTACTAATTAAATCACAATAATTTTCATCATAATTAGCGCTACAGATTGAGTGCTGCACAAGCTGAAAACTATTTACATAAGTATGAATTTCTGTATGCGGCTTTGTCGGACATTTATTGATGGCTGTTCTTATTTGAAGAGAACTCTTCCCAGCCATTGTCTCAGTTTGTTTGCTGGCGCTGTCTCGGCTGGCTCGTTTCAGCATCCGATATCTCTCAGTATGGCTGGCGCATTACGCATACGCCGCATTGTACACATTGTTGGGGCCAATAATGCGGCAAAGTGACGTGGCGCGACTCCAATGAAGCGAGCCTTCAGTTTAACTTGGGCATAAGTTAATCAGAGTCTTTATTTACGCTGCTTTTCTGCCAACGGCCGCTGCCTCTGCCTCTGCCGCTGCCGCTGCCGCTCCGAGCAAGCTCTTCATTAGCAGTAAAAGGCAAGGAGCAGAGACTGCAGGAAGCGAGGATGCTTGCAGCAGGTGTCGCCTTTACCGTTACAACGTTTTATTTCGCACATTTTCATCAGGCTCTCTGCCAAAGCAGACCATTTGGCGGGGGGCAGCAGGAGTTGGCAGCAAAAACTTTCATTGCTGCCATTCTGCATGCGAAATGCATGCAACAAGCAAAATGCATTTACCCTCAACTCGCAACTATGCCACTGTCATGATGCATGCAGCATGCAGCATGCAGAATGCCACGCAATTTACTCTATTATTTAATTTTGTTATAGTTTATAGTTTTAGCTCGCTCGCTCGCTCGCCAACTAACTCTTTTTTCTCTCACTGTAATTCGATTTTCCGAAAGTTTGTGTTTATGATTTTAAACTTTGCCGCTTCTGCTGGCGCCTCGAGGCAAGTTTCAGTTTTATAATGCATGCAGCGGCAACTTTGCATGTGTTGAGCTGTCTCGACGCTCGAGTCTCCTGCTGCCAGCAAGGTGCACATAAGCGACAGTTGAGCGTGGCCATTTGAACTTTTGCCAGACATTTTAGCCAGATCTAATATGATGTTATTTACGTGCTTTGCTTGCCTTGAACGCAATTTGCATATTCTAAGTTTGCTAGTTAATGTTTTAATAGGAATTTTAAAAGGTTCGAGTCTATGGAAATAATTGTGTTTCCCTCAGAGTGTAAATGCACGAAAATGCATTATTTTATTTTATCAAGGCTGGACTTCCTTTCTCACATTGTAAAACATGCTCCGCCTTGGGGCTGCTCAATTATGAATATTTTCTGTTGCAACATGGCTGCATTTTTCAATTGCTTCTTTTGTGTTGTTGAGTTTTGTGCTTCGGCTAATTAAGTGTAAACATGTTCTGGAGCTGCAATTAATTGCGCATTTGTTGCCACAAAGAAGCGCAGCCACCACAACTGAAGCGGACGCTTTGCATTTCTGTTTAATTAGCCAAAAGGGGGCAACAACAACAACAACAACAGCAACAACAACAGCAACAGCAACTGCAACAAAGACAAAGGCAATCAGGGAGACGTCGCTGTCGCTCGACTCTGTGCCGCAAGTTGCTCGCAGCGGCAATCAATAATTTGTTGTTTACAATAAATATGCAACATGGCTCGGCGCCCGCCCACCTGTCCCACCTGTCCCACCTGGCGTCGCACTAATTAGTGGCAACAAAGACTGGCAACTGTTTGATATCGGAGCAGCCCGATATGGCGAGGCCGCCCGATTGCAGGGCAATGCACCTGCCTAGAGAAGCCCGCATAACTTTTTTATTTTTTATTTTACAGTTTTAATCAATGGCAACAAAGCAAAACCGCCTCAAAGGTGCGTGAGAATGGGCCCGGAATCCCTGCAAAGCCAACATGGCGGCCCAGCCCGGGCGCAGCTTCGAGTGCCTTTTCAGCTGGCTTCAAAATATGCTCGAGCGACTCCCACCCCATCTTGGGGCCAGCCAAGCCGCAAAAGTTGTCCACATACTTTCTATGGCATCGCAGCGAAATGGCGACTGGCCAGCAGCAATTTAAGAGGTTGCAGAAAATAGCTGAGACTCCAAACAGGAGCTGGCAATGAGAGACTATAGAAGCTACATAGATTTAGATATGCCTATCAAACTGACAACTTGCATGCCTACCGTCGCAGTAAGGTTTTCTAATACTCAAGCTAAGTATAAATCAGAAATTAAATATACAAAAAATATTCTACAATTAAAATATCAATATTCCTTAATGCAATTACATTTCCAATTAGCTTCCAATTAGAGCAGGTTAATTTGAAAATGCCTTTCAAAGGCAGCCGCTGCAGGGCTTTGCAAATGTAAATAGTTTCAATAAACAATGCTTATGCCTAAACGGAGTATTTAATTAATATTAATTCCTTGAACTCAGAAATGCAGCTGCAGTCTCTTCTAACTATGCCTCAATCGAGTTATGCACTTTGGCTTAGGCCAGAGCAGAGAATGCGCTTAATTAAAAGTATATGGCATAAATAATGCAGCTTATTAAACTGCTCATAGAATATGCAGAGTTATCTGTGGCGCACACTGCGAGTGCTGCAACATGTTGCTAAGCGGCATTTAGCCAGTACACAAACCTCGTTTTCGTCGCGCAACATGCCAACAATTTGTAGAAACATTCGCTCCGCATCGTTCTGCGGGTCGCAGTTCGAGTAGGTGTCGTCCATGAGTGTGATGTCGCCGATGCGACAGTGGAGCTGCTCCTCCGACGAGGAGGAGTACAGCGACAATATGTTGCGTCGTCGCCGCTCGTCTGCAACATGTTGCAGAGCAACATCAACAGCTAACGAACGTGACGCCTGCGTTGCAGTCGCTGTCGCTGCCTCTGCCTCTGCTGCTGCTGTTGATGTTGTTGTTGTTGTTGTTGCTGCTGTTGCTGCTGCTGCTGCTGCTGTTTCTGCTGCTGCTGCTGCTGCTGCCTCGTCATCGGCATCTGCCTCGTCGCAGCCGCTGCTGCTGAGCTGCGAGTAGCTGAGGCTCAGTTGACTGCAGCCGTCGTGCTCTTCCTCATCGTGATCCAGATCCAAATCCAGTTCCAGCTCATGCTCCAGCTCTGTGCCGCCGGTGCCGCTGTCTCCGCTCTGCGAGCTGGCCTTTGCCTGACCACTGGCTGTCGATGTTGTTGCTGCCGCTGCTGCTGCTGCTGCGTTGGCCACCACCACCGCCAGATGATTGTAGGCCTGTGATTCGCCGCTGCTGCTGCTGCTGCGACTGCGCCGCTTCATCGAGCGAAACGGCGACAGCAAGCGACGACGCGTGCTGCCCGTGGGCGTGGCATAGGGCGGCTGCTGCAGCTGCTGCCGTTGCTGCTGCTGCTGAGTCGGTGCGCCAGCATAGCGTTCCAATGACCTTGACTTGCTGTGATTGCTATAGATCGTGGCACCAACATGACTTCCCGCCTCCGCTGCCTCCGCTGCCTCAGCTCCCTTGCCCCCTCCTCGCGCCGTCTCTCGCTGCTTTCGGCCAGCATCAATGTGCGCGTTCTCTATAATTTCGCCTGCCTCATCGCTGGAGCTCTGCGACAGTGTCGCTGCCGGCGCTGTTGCAGCAAATAGTCGCATAGTTGTTGCTGTCGATGATGTTGTTGTTGCTGGTTGCTGCTGCTGTTGTTGCTGCTGCTGCTGCTATTGCTTGTGTGTCTTGCGTCGGGTTAATTAATCTTTCTACTATTATGCAGATTTCAGGTTTTCTTTATTTTTATATTTTCTTCTCTTTTTTTTCTTGTTTTTTGTTCTTAGGCACTTGGCTGCATCGTTTTAGGGCACATTCTTGCGTAATGAACGCTTCTATTTTTACAGACCGGTTAGACAGGATTGCTGGCGTTTCCTTTAACTATACTGGACAAATATGGCAAGGCATTAGGCAAACAGCTAAGAACAAAAACAACTACACACTGCACACTCGCGCATCGACGGCTCAAATAAGCCACTCAATTACGCCGAAAATTTCTCAGGGCTGCCCGCGCTGTAAACATGGCCTAGCGTTAATTATCCAGACAGCTTAGAATGTTTATTAAACACGTTGTTGTTATTGTTGTTGCTGTTTGTGGAGTCGACTAAGGTTGTCGGCTGCATTTTGTTTGCACAATTGCTGGGCGTGTGTAAATCATGTTGGGCAATATTTGCCCCTAGATAAGTTCTTCAATGTTTCAGACGCCAAGTTAAGATGTTCTACAGCGAACCGTGACATTGTCGCTGTCACAATTTCCGACACACACACACACACACACACATGTGTGACACTCTTGTTTACCTGCCAGGAGGATGTTGGCGGGGCAAAGAGACAGAGAAGGTGGGAAAGGTTAGTGGAACGACACCAAGTACATGAGAAAGTCAATCTAACGGAGGAGCTATGAATAATGCAAATTGAATCAACTAATTTGAATATTGGCGCTGCTCAATAGATATTTGTTGATAGCACATTTGATACTACGAGAGATATTT